GGCTCTAAACAGTTTTTATACCCTCAAACATCATATAAAAATTAATCTGTTATGCTTAAATGTGCTACTTTTGGGGAAATTGAGTAACTTTTAGATTTCCAGTACTTGGGAACATCTGATATACTACCAGATGTTTAAAGAAACCTATAGAAACAAGGCAGGTAACAAAATCAGTGAGCTGAGGGTGGATACAGATGCTTCATATTCCTCTTTACATATGAAAAGCCAAAGTTCAAATGTGATGATCAGTGGAAATAAAGGTGTCCAGTTTGGATTGTTGGGAGAATAGATGCCTCTCCTCAGCTCCTCATCCTGGCTATGTGCAAATGCTCCCTAAATAGACTGAATTTTTCTATTGTTAAATAAAAGTTGAAGCTGGGTATGGTGGCTCATGCCTTTAATCCTAGATACTCATTTGAGGATCACAGTTTGAAGTTAGGCCAGGCAAGAAAGTCTGTGATACTCTCATCACTAATTAACTGCCAAAAAGCTGGAAGTGGAGCTGTGGCATAAGTGGTAGAGTGCTAGTCTCTATCACAAAAGCTCAAGGATAGCACTCAAGCTCTAAGTTCAAGCCCCAGGACCTGCACGCGCACGCACATACACACACACACACCACCACCACCACCACCACCACCACCCCTCTGTATTTTCACTGTAAAGCTCCCAATTTTGAAAGATTGGTAACTAGTGGTTGAGTGCTAGTCTCTATCACAAAAGCTCAAGGATAGCACTCAGGCTCTAAGTTCAAGCCCCAGGACCTGCACACACACACATACACACACACACACACACACACACACACACGCACGTGCGCACGCACACACAGGTAACTGTATTTTCACTGTAAAGCTCTCAATTTTGAAAGATTGGTAACTACTTACAATTCTTTTGTTATGCTGAGCGACAACAACAAAACAAAGCACCATGTCTATGGGGTTTCTCTGAACTGTGATTTATAAAATAATGTTAAGTAATATGAACAATTTCATAACCAACATGACAGAATTGATAAATCCTGGTAATCACCTCAGTTACCTGCTGGTGGGAAACATCTGGCCCACAGATATATACAAGCCTCATCATTTGGATGATTAGGCACAGAATGCTTCTTGTTGACTAACCACGTCAGTCTGCTCATATTGATAATTTTGTGGCCCATAATGATCTTATAAATATCCAAATGACCCTTTGCATTTTGATTTCTACAGAGTATGCTTTTTCTGCTTGTTCTTGCTTAGAAAGTCTCTGGAATACTAGCCTCACTAACAAGTTCTCAGATGAGTTTTGTTTATAAGGCTAAGGAAAATTCAACCCATTTACGATTGTGTTGTATGGCAATCTTATTCTAAGAAGTTAAGAATTAAATTGCGAAAGTCTTATTTTGGAGGTCTGTCCTTACTCCTTGGTAGATCTGCTATATTTTATAATCCGAAATATATTTCAGTTTAGGAAGATACTCATTGATGTTTCTCATACTGAACTAATGGTTTCTAGTCTACCATTGTTGGTTAAATTTATACTTTAGTATTAAACTCATTTGTCACAATATTTGGCTGTCTTGACAGACAGGTTTGTTTAGCTTTACAGATACTGTGATACGGATCAGAAACCGACACAATGATGTCATTCCCACAATGGCACAGGGTGTGACTGAATACAAGGAAAGCTTTGGAGTAGATCCTGTTACCAGCCAGAATGTTCAATACTTTTTGGATCGATTTTACATGAGTCGCATTTCAATTAGAATGTTGCTCAATCAACACTGTAAGTATCCCAAAGCCAAGAGAAATAGAAATGTCTATTGGTATTTTAAATTTATTTAGACATTTATGCCAAATGTCTGTTGGTATATTCTAAATTTATTTAAATTTCCTTTAAAGAGAATATACTTTTTGCTTATTAAGAAAAGTATGAGATACAAAGCAGATTATTTCCTTTTTTCTTTTTTTTTTCTTTTTGGTCAGTCATGGGGCTTGAACTCTGGGCTTGGGTGCTGTCCCTGTGCTCTTCAGCTCAAGGTGAACGCCCTACCGCTTGAGCTACAGGGCCACTTCCTGTTTTCTAGTGGTTTATTGGAGATAAGAGTCTCATGGACTTTCCTGCCTGGGTTGGCTTTGAACTGAGATCCTCAGATCTCAGCCTCCTGAGTAGCTAGGATTATAGGCACGAGCCACCATTGCCCAGCCAAAGCAGATTGTTTTCTTAATGGTAAATTGAATTAACTTAACTTGAATGTGTCAGTTGTTTTTACAAATAGTGTTGACTAGACTGATTTTTTTCTTTTTTGTCAGTTGTGGGGCTTGAACTCTGGGCCTGGGTGCTGTCCCTGGGCTCTTCAGCTCAAGGTGAGCTCTTTACCACTTGAGCCACAGTGCTACTTCTGATTTTCTTGTGGTTAATTGGAAAGTCTCATAGACTTTCTTGCCCAGGCTGGCTTCCATCCTCAGATCTCAGCTTTCCGAGTAGCTAGGATCACAGGTGTAAGCCACTGGCACCCAGCTCCACAAAAGGGCTTTCCTATGACATTTCTTGCCTACATACATTTTAGTTGGATTAACCCCCTCTATTGCTCTCTCTTTCCCCACCCTCTCTTGCTCCCTAGGGTTTGCTAGTTTTCAGTAAGTCTCCTATGCTAAATGTTTATATTATTTGCCCTCCATCCTAATTGAATATGAATACTGTGTTTATGCTTAAGGAAAATATTTTTTCTACTGTTTTGTACCACTTAGGGAAACTATTCAAATCTGGAAAAGGACATTCAGAAAATTTTTTTACTTTTTATTTGTTTTTATTTTTAATAGCTTTATTATTTGGTGGAAAAGGAAGTCCTTCTCATAGAAAACATATTGGAAGCATAAATCCAAACTGCAATGTGGTTGAAGTTATTAAAGGTATTCTTTCATTTCTAAAATGATACAGAAATCCAAGTGTTGAGTGTTGTTTTTGCTATTAAAACATCTGTTTGTGTCATTAGGGAAAATGTTAGAAGCAAATATGTGGGTTTTTTAATTCCTTATAACATTAGTTGTTCATTATATATAAGATGAATGTTGATAGAATTCTTTGTTAGCAAAGTTTAGTGGTACAATCTAGTTATCTTTCCCTCCCCAAAATTTAAGTCCCTAGTTTCCTCTTTCTAAGTTCTTATATTAGGAACAATAATTCATAACAGTTTATTTCTATCTTGTCTGTTTATACCCCCTATGCCCACCCACAAACAAAATTATTGGTTTTATATTTTTGGTTGTTTTTAAAAATTGGGAAGTTTACAGATCTTTTGCTATGTCAATGCATATGGATGTACTCCAAGCTTCTTTGTAGTTAGGTGGAATGTTATCAGTACGTGTTAATCTGCCCTCCTCTTTTTTTTTTTTTT